ATTCATACCAACTTAGATGCTCATCTAGAAATATTTGAGGGAATACGTTAGCCAGAGAAGCAAAAATGAATACAATGGCCCTGGATTTACAGTGTGTCATTGCAGAAGATCAAGAAATCAGTCTGTCAGGTTTTTTGAATCTCTTCTGTGTTTTTTTTCTAGGTGTGAAGATGGAATCATTGAGAACTGCACACCAACCAGCAACACCAAATGCCAAGGTTATTATTTCTTTTAATGGCCATATTCTCCTTTCTTCCAACCCTACTGTAAAACACGAAGAAAAGCCAATCGCTTTTGATTTGCTGAGAGTACTCTGTTTTAATCTTAAAGTCTTCTTACTTTCATACACCATGTCCAATGTTCCAATCCACAGGACCCAGATCATACTTACACGGCTTGTGGGCCCTCCTGATCCTCATTCCAATATCTGCACTGATATACAGGCGTAAGTTCTTACTTTGTTCACACTGCATGTGGAAGTAACTTGGGAAGTAGTTGTTCACAAGAATTCCCCTCTGTCTCCTACCTATAGGAAAGCTCCTAGCGGGCAGGCAGCTCTGTTACAGTGTTAAATTCCTGCCTCTAAATGCACTGCTGAGGGCTGATAAGAACAGAAGATGTGATCTTGCAGCTACTGTTTTTGAGCAACCCTTTGAGGGCACTGATTGGGTGTTCCCATCCTCCCTATGAAGAAGGGTATTTTCATTCAGGCAGCAGCCCAGTTGGCCAAGAATCAGAAGTTGTTCTTCACTATACGTTGAGATCATTTCATGCACAAAAAGAACTCAAGAAGCAAGGGCATTCCCAGGAAAGGCACTGCAGGGGACACATGATAAATTCATCCCTCTCTGTGCCTCCTCTCACTTGTTGAGACTCCATGTTGTTGTTTTTTTTTTTATTATTGTTTCTCTACTTTAATTTAAAATACTATGGCAATACATTTTATGCAAGGGGTACTTAGTAAAGTCAGCAGGTAAACCCAAATTGGGTATAATTACAATTACTCTAGAAAAATCCCTTTAGATCATTCATACAACACAAGGTGTTGCCAACTTTCAGTAGCTCTGAAGCATCCAAGTTTTCCTTTTCTGTTGGAACAAGTCACTGTTTCTCCAGGTCAGCTGAAGATACAGAGGTTGTCTTGCCTTTAGAGGTTGTTTAGCTAAAAATATACACTCAGTGTTTTAAATACTTTAACTGTGCTTGGAGACTTAGAGATTTCTTTCTTCCATCTCATACTGACTTCAAGTGTATATGTGTCTGAGTTATTTGTGAGTGTGTGTACTTGAGTTTCTGGGTATTAAATGCTGCTCCATGGCAAACTGGTGTCGACTTCGCAAAGCCTAGGGTATCTGTGCCCTGCTGTAGCCACGCTACCCAACTCCAAGCCGGTGAGTGAGGGTGGTGATGGCCATACAAAGTCAAAATCCAGCTTCAGCCAGGCTAGTGTGGCCATCAGATAGATGGCTCCATTAAGATATTATGTATCTCTAGACCACTTGATCCAGTGGGATGGCATGTTCAAAATCAGTACAAGTCTGCCTCTTATGGTGATTGGTCACTTTAAGTTTCAATTAATTTCTCCTTTCTTCTCACATTTTCCCTTAGTATGAGAGTATGTTCTCACATGCTTCCTACAAGGCTGAGACCTGAGTCTGACAGAAATTTCTTGGCTCTTTCAGAGGTGAAAAGATGGCGCAGGAGTAAAGGGAATGGAGACCGGAAATCTATAGCCTCACATACTGTAAGTGTTGAAAGGGGCATTAGCTTTAAAAAAAAAATAGAGAAAGTAGTCCTTCACCTTTTCACTTGTTACTTTTTAAAAAACAAACGTTTATTGTGTTTGTGTGTGCATGGGTTCAGAGGGGCATCAAAAATGAATTAAGATATGCTGCCCAGTTTGTAAGAAGCTCCTATACAAATAATAGGAGAATTAATAAATTCTTATCAACAAATGCTCACTTACACAAAGAGAGCTGTAAAAAGGATATGGCCAAACCTCCACGTTCCATGCTGGTGTTAATCCTGGAAGAGAAACGCCGAGAGACTTCCAAGCCCAGGGACAGAGATAACTCTTAAAGTCCACTGCAGAGGCACAGCACAACTCTCTCTAGCCCCTTGCTATCTTACCTCTCACCTTATCTGTTCCCAACATGGGATCAAAGCATTTAAATAGCAAAAGATACACTGTGGAGAGTCACCAGTTCACCCGATAAATAATGACTTTCTCATTTGTCCCGGTGGGACTTAGGGTTCTTTAAATCAATGTGGTACAAAATAATTTCAACTTAAACTGTTTCCTCCTGTCGAAAATTAAAATAGTTTCAGTAAAGAATATTACAGGGTGATTATATTGATTATATTTATTTTCAAGAGTCCCTACAGAGAATGATTTCAGCAACTCCATGAATTCCTTAGGTTCTTTGTCTGTGTGCAAAGTAAGCCAATATTCCTGAGTTTCTGGGAAGGCTGGAACCTTTCAGAATAAAAATTCGAATGGTGAAAGAATCCTCCATAGTCGCTTAGTCTAGTTAACTTTATACATGAAGTAACCATACTTCCTTTAGTGTAAAGGAAGAATTAGAAGATTACATTTAGAGCATTCTAAATATATTTTTGTTTATCTCTCTCCTTCCCTCCACTTTTTTTTTCTTTCTTCTCAGGAAATAATGCCAATGAATTTGACAGGTAAGGCTTTTATCCTTTTATTTCATGGAGGTGACTTCCTTAGGAGAAGCAGGCCAATTTTAGTGTAAAATGACATTGCTAATTTCAGGGACGTATTGTGGGGTCTTGCTAGTCCTTGAGGCTACTGTTCTGCTGGCTCATCATCAAGAGTTTATTAGGCAGCTTGTTTACATGTATAAAAGTAATGCTCATAGTTAAAAATAAATCAGGTAATAATAGGACATCACATCCTAAGACTTAAGAAAATCTTCCTTCACAAGCAGCTAGGCGTATTATAGAACTCCTGCCTGAACTGACTTAGAGGCTAATCTGAATGGTAGACCCAGGTACAGTTGTTGTATCCTAGCTCTGAAACAGCATTCATGACTCTATTCAGTTCTGTTCGCTTCTGTTCTTTGACCGGATCCAGTGGTAAGATGGTCATAAACTCTCTGCTTGCCTTTTAGATGTGTGGGTTGTTGATGATCAGATCCATAAGGGATGTTATGGGTGACTTTTTCCAGCCCTTTTATTTTATAGATGAGGAAAGAAGATACAGAGATGTTGTGTATCCTGCCCAGGTCCTAAATCAAATGCCTGGGGACACAGGGGGAGTTGGGATTAGAACTCAAGGTTGTTTCTGTTTTTGTTTTTCCGCCCGATCAGCGCTTTTAGGTTTCTAGGACTTAGCCTGTATTCTTAACTACTGTCAAGGGAAGTAAACATGATTTTCGGTCATGGGAGTTTTGTTTAGGAAAACAAATTTCCAGAGACTATTCTCTATTTTTCAGACATTGACTTGAGTAAATATATCACTACTATTGCTGGACAGATGAAAATAACTGAAGTCAAAGAATTCGTTCGGAAGAATGGTATCCATGAAGCCAAAATAGACGAGATTAAGAATGACCATCTCCATGACACAGCTGAACAGAAGGTCCAGCTGCTCCGTTACTGGTATCAACATCATGGGAAGAGAGGCGCATACAGCACTTTGATTAACGGTCTCAGGAAAACCAATCTTTGTGCTCTTGCAGACAAAATTGAAGACATAGTCCAGAAAGATGTTACGAGTGAACATGAAAATGCAGACTTTCAAAATGAAAATGAAATCGTGGCCTAAAGTGAACAGCACTAACTCAGTTCTGAGAATGTACTAAGCAATAGAAAGATTGATGTTCGAGTAAGTTCTTAAGAGCTGCAGGCTATAAATATTGCTTGGGCTCTTTACTGGGTGTGTTTCCTCTTCTCATTTATTAGATTTGTAAAGCTTATATATTTACAGGCTTTGAGCGTCTCATGGTCCTACCTTTAAGGATGTTTAAAATCTAGTTGGGAAGATGGACACGGTTAAGAGTAAATACAATGGTGTGTTACGTATGCGAGTAGGTGTGTATGCAAAGGACAAAAGGTTGAGATCGTGCTCAAGTATCAAATGTATAATTCAGTAGTAAGAATGTAATTAATGTGTGTGAATACAAATGCCTATCCACAGGCTGACCCCCTTCCATCAATTAGCAGATGGCCTCTTTTGTTGCAATGTCACAACCACTGCCTCTAAATTACTTCCCCAGCTCCACTGATAATTCTAGAGATTTTACCCTATTTTTTTTATAAACTTTGTTTACAGCTCTCAGAGGAGCCTATTCGGGGACAGCTTGCATACACATCTGAGTGCAGACTTTAATAAGGTACTACCTCAAAGATCTTTGCACGGCTTATTGGCATTTCATTGTGAAATATTTCAATTTTGAATTCACATAGAAAAGGCAAACTAATTATAATGCTTGAATATACTTGTTTGCCATTTTACTGGGTTGAAATAATCTACTGCTTTCTCAGATGTCAAAACATTTTGATCAGGAAAGAATTACGAGAGCATCACCACCTCTGTATTTTCTCCTTGATGTGCATCTCGGTGGCCTACGCACTCCCATTCCTGGAAGTACTGCCTCAGAAACAGGTGACTCACAAAAAGCTGGGGCCGCCCTTAGAAACGTCTAGCTTGGTTCTGAGAGACTAAGGGCGCTTACAGAAGGTAGACATGGGCAGACCCAAGTCTACCACCAAAGCTGGTAAGGTAGATTTGAATTTTGCCCTGCCCCCCACAAAATGTTCAGTAACCACCCCCACCGTGTACTCTCTCTTGCTGCAAAAACAGCTTATACAAGGCAAAAGTGAAAGCATACCAGGTTTTAGGCACTGCTGTGATTTCCCGCAGCTTCTTAGACAAACAAGCTCTTCCCCTCGCTACCACGTCCTGACTTTTACATTTAAACACTTATGAAAGTTTGTATTAAATGTGAATTTAAATAAATACTATTTATATTTGTATAGTTGTAAACTGAAAATAGGCAGAAGCTGAAGAAGATACTTAGGACTTCCTAAAGAGCATCCATTGATAGAAGATTCTCTCCTCTTGTTTGTACATATAGAATATAGGTAAAAAATATTTAATTAAAATCATGTTTTTGGAATTTCTGGTTATCTCTTTTTTTTTTTGGTGGGGGCTTGCTTTTTGTTTTTGTTTTCCTTCATTTCTAACTATTGCTAAATGTAACCTGTTTATAAAGCTTTAATCCTTTCTTTGGTCTCTCAGGAGTTATTGCCATTTTAAAGCCATTTTAGTAGTTAAATAATTCCCTGTTACTCCCAAGAATACCCCTCCCAAACAATGCCTAATTATTTATTATGTGAAGATTTACTACGACAGGATTACATATCAGGCACTGGAAGTGTGGATAAGAAAGTAAATATTTCAAAGGGTTGGTTTTGTTGGTAAGAAAGCTAAATGGATATTTTGAAATATTCTTTCATGCATACTTCCCATTCTGGCTACTTAGTGATCACTGGACGATCTCTTTTTTTAAAATTTAATTTTAATAATGTATTTTATTTAAATCATTGCTCCCCAAATATTATCATCTCAACATGTAATCAATATAAAAACTATTAATGAGATAGTTTACATTCTTTTTTTTTTCCACAGTAAAGTCTTCAAAATCTGGGTTGCATTTTATTTTATTTTTCAATTGAAGTCAGGTGGTTTGTATTTTATATATACTTATAAGCAGGTGTCAGTTTGGACTGGCTACATTTCAGAGGCTCAACAACCACATGTGGCCAGTGGCTACAGCATAGGTAGTTTGGGTCTATCTTTGTTAGGGCTGGCAACCTGCACTCAATGGCCGGTTTAGCCCTATGACTAAAGTCCAGCACTTCCTGGGGCTGTTCAGTGAGGTCTTTTCACTCTGATTGGTTGGATCGTCCACATCTCCGACCGCTATGTCCACTTTGTTCTGCTTACAGCATCCATAGCTGTTGTTTGCCTGGTTTTGGGAAAGTCTTCTCTCTGCATGTGCACATAGTATTGGCCAAAGACTCCAGGGAATTTCCATACAGATTTCTGGATCTCTTTTGTGGGTACCTTCCTTCTTTTCAGTACGTTGTTCTGAAAATTCTGGCAGCCTCTGCTTCCTGAACTCCACCCTCTGCTCCTCCACTTTCACATGATGACTGTGCTCTTCTTAGAGCTCCTCCTGCCCTAGGATCTGGAAGTTGCCTCTGGGCAGAAAGTCTGAGAGATCAAAGGGCTCACCTCATTAGTTTGTCTTCTCCAAGGGATGGTCTGTACTAACAGTTGTCCAGTTTTCTAGTTGCAGACAGTAGGAGGGCAACTCTGGAACTAGTTAATCTTCATGGCCAGAAGCAGAAGTCCTACAGGCGGACCTCATTTTATTGAATTTCACTTTATTGCACTTTACAGATATCGTGCTTTTTACAAACTGAAATTTTGTGGCAACCCTGCATCGAGCAAGTTTCTTGGCACCATTTTTCCAACAGCATTTGCTCACTTCATGCACATTTTGGTAATTCCTGCAATATTTCAAATTTTCTCATTATGATTATATTTGTTATGGTGATCTGTGATCAGTGATTGTTGATGGTACTGTTGCAAAAAAAAATTACGGCTTGCTGAAGGCTCAGATGATGGGCAGGTAGCATTTTTTAGCAACAAAGCATTTTTTAATTAAGGTATGTACATTTTTTTAGACATAATGCTATTGCACACTTATAGACTGCGTGTAGTGTAAACGTAACTTTTATATGCACTGGGAAACCAAAAAACTTGTGGGACTTGCTTCATTGCGGTCATTTGGAATTGAATCCACGGTATCTCTGAGGCACACCTTGTACTTTGCCAGGTGAAGTGAGTTAGAGAACGCCCTGCACCCACTCCGGTGCATTCCAACCCAAGAAATTCAGGTTCCTTTGGGAGGACGAAGGAGGTTGAGAAAGTCTTTGGACGTGGTGCAGTGGCTCTTTTCCTTCACAGTTTCTCCTGAGTGTCACTCTTCCCAATAATCACAGTCGTGTCCCAGAGTCTAAGGTGCCCTTGGTTCAAGATCACCTTTATTGTGGTGGACCTGGTCTGGGCCACTTTGTGGCAGACATTCAGGGTAAGAGCGTCACCCAGAGGTCACCCATGAGCTGCAGAACAAAGGCTGTTTGTAGGAGGAGGTCACAGATCACACGGTGAGCCTTGCTTCACACATCTTGGTCTATCTCATCGGCTTGTACACGGCGTTCTCCCAACTCTGATTTGATCAGACATTTTTTGGACTATTGAATCGTCAGTTTCTGTACAACTGTCTGGATAAGGAATCTACTCAATGCAGTTTAGGATTTTTTCCATCCTCACTCCTAAAAGGGAATTTATCTGAGTATAGAACTTCATGCCAGGGTACCTGCAATTTTCCCTCAGCACTTGGAAAATGTTGATCTACTATCTTCTTACATCTATCACTGTGGATCAAATGTCTGCAGTTGGCCTAAATATCATTCCTTCAAAGGCAATATTTATTTTTTAACTCTGGTCATTTTTAAAGCTTCCCCTACCCTTTCCCTCGGTGTTCTGCTATTTCACTATAATGAGGTTCAGTGTGGATTTAGTTTTACTTAACCTATTTAGTAAGAGTAAGTTTTAAATCTGAAAGACAGGGCTGTAGCCTTTGTCATGTCTGGAAAATTCTCAGCCCTTTTCTCTTCTGAAACAATCTGTGTTATCTGGTGAAGCTTCTTGAGTTATTTTTCAGGTCTCTTATTTTTACTTCTTTTTTTTTTAATGTAATTGTCTCTATATGTGGCATTTGGGGGAATTCCCATGACTCTCTTCAAATTAACTATTTTCTTTCTTATTAATCAGGCTTAGTATTCTGCCCACTGAGATGTATATTTTGTTGTCTACATCTTTCATTCTTAGCATTTCTAATTGCTTCGTTCACACTTTCACTTATACCTGTTTCATTTCTGCTTGGCTTTCATTGGCAACTTAGTATAGTTTAATAGATTTTATTCCACCATCTATCTCTTTGAGGATCTTCTAGTTATTTTAAAATCCTTTTTAGAATGGTTTTGTTACCATGACTTTAACTGCAGTGATTTCATGCTGATTTTGTAGTGTGGCTTTTCTCGTGTGATTTCCTTTGGTGTTTTTGAGCTTTGTAGGTTCATCTTGAATGACAGATTTTTTCCCCCTATTTCTCTGCACTCACCTTTGTCTACCTAGTAGTTTTGTGGCTTCTTTTACCAGGGCTTCCACAGTCCTCAGTTCTGAGCCAGGATTTACAGAGGCATCTGGTGACTCACACTGGTGTCACTTGGTGACTTTGGGGCTGTCACATGTTCAGTCACACATCTGGGGGCAGCTTGGCTCAGTTCCACGTCATGAGGCTGCATCTAGGTCTTCCCAGCTCCCAAGCCCCATAACCTCACATAGGTCCCAGGCGGTGTTTGGCAGTAGCCCTGTTTCAGGTGTCCTTCATGAGTCAGAAAGCTCAGCCTCAGTCCCTGGTTTTAAGAAAGGAGCCTGGCTCCTGTCCTTCTGCACATTTAGCCTTGGCTAAACCCAGGAGCAAACTCGGCTTTTCTTCCAGGCATTGATAGCACGCAGCTTTGGCTTGTGTCCAAAGTCATTAATTACTTTGCAATTGTTTCCCGTTCTTACAGCAAGGAAAGAGTTCTTATTCTTTAGCCTGGCTATGCCTTTTAGTTTTCCTTATAAAATATGTTGTGTATCATGGATGTTTGTTCAGATGGGGAGGGAGTGACCCTCAAGAAATGAACTTATAACTCTGTATTGACCCTAAGTCCCCAGTTTTGTCATTGGATGATCAGAAGCAATGTTTTGTTTTACATTTTTAAGTTACAAGTAACTCTCAATTTGTTTTCAGTTACACAGTGCCCTTTGACAGAAATGAAAAGAGAGCAGAACAGAGCCCGTGGGGTTTCCTGTAGTCCGAGTGGTCAAATGGATCTGAGTTTTGTTATCGGGGTGAATCTTGAGGCCTACAGATCTGGGATTAAATATTTATTTTCTCCATAATAGTAGAAACAAATGTTTTAATCTCTTTGGGCCTCAGTTTCCCCCTCTATAAAATGGGAAACTTGTTTCAATATGTTGGGGGTTTTATGAGGATTAAATAAAATGCATATGAAGTATATACCACAGTGCCTGACTCTATACCTTGACAGTAATAATAACCCAACTCAGATGTTCAAGCAAAATGTAAAGTGACTGGTATATTTCACTGGAAGTTCAGAGATGGGGGCGGGGGGTTAAGGACTAACCTAACCCAGTGCCTCCAGTCATGATTCCTTGTGAGTCTCTTGGATTTACCATCTTCATCAGCACCTACTTGTCTGAGTGATAATGACAAGTTACCTGGACCTATCTGCATGTCACAACATCCGGAAAAGACAACAGTTATGTAGCACAGGGACAAGATGGGCTGGTTGACTAAGTCCACAAGCCTCATTCCTTGAGCCCGGGGTAGGATCAGGCTCCCCTAAATTTCCAAAGATGTAGTGGGAAGGAGGACTCTTGATAAGAGGGTGAAAGGGGTGTCTGGGTAGGAGTGGTGGGCTATTTGGGGTCCTCAACTCAAGCTGACAATAGAAAAGTGTATTACATTATAGGACAGGCAGTCCAAAGGCATGGCTCGGAAAGCCTGTTTGTACCAGCTCACAAGAGTCAATTGTTAAACACTTAGGAAATATGTGAGCCAATTGTTAAACTGTCGGTAGCTTGATATTACTATGGTGGGAGTAAATACTATGCTCAGACTGTAGACTTTGCATTTTTAAAGTAGAAGAGCTCAGTTTACCATGAGACCAAGTGAATGTCAGGAGAGTGCTGCAGGTTTTGCTTAAAAGTCCTACATTTAATTTCTAGCCACCAAGTGAAGTGTCTGTCTGGAAACACTTATCATAGATAAAGCAGAAACCAAGCTCTATCTTCTTTTCTTCCATAAGAATGTTTGAAGGAAGGGATTAGCTTCCTGAAACCAATATTGATCTTTCTTTCTTTATTTTTTTTTAATGAAAGAAGACCAATCTATGTGGTAACATTAGCCGCCTGGCGAGATGTCTTCAGCCATCAACTATCAGCTCCTTGTTGGAGCCACAGATCCAGAAACATGGAATCTGGGTGCCTGGCGACCACTGCACCAGAAAAGCAGACCCTTTCCTTTCCTTCCTGCTCATCCTCATTTTCTCAGCTTCCTCCTCCTCCCTCTCTTCTATAGCACTGCACAAAATCACCTCTCTCACACCCTCCCCTCTCTTCAGTTCCTCTTCCCCATCTTTATTCTTCTTTTCCTCCGTCCCTCCTTTTGATGTGCCCTTTCTTCTCTCTCTCTTTCATATTTCACATGGGAGTGGTGCGGATGGAGGTCACTGACTGTGGTTCGGCTATGCAGCAGCCTGGGGAGTTTGCCATTTGAGGCAGGGAAGCATGTGTGAAATGTTCCAAACCTGAGGACTGAGCA